GTTTACTCTGCTAATAGGTTTTTTGTTTTGTTTTGTTTTTTGTGCTGTGCAGAAATTTTTTTTAGTTTAATTAGATCCCATTTGTCAATTTTTGTTTTTCTTGCAAACATTTTGGTGTCTCCAATATGAAGTCTGTTCATGCCTTTTCTGTGCTTATTAAGATGATCTTGTTTAGGTTCTACATTTGGGTAATGTAGGGCACCACATTTATACATTTCTGTATCCTTGATTCCTAGGGATAAATCCTGTCATCATGGTGACTAATTATTTTATTGTGCTCTTAAATCCCAGGGATAAATCCTATGTCATTGTTGTGAATGATTATTTGATTGTGCTCTTGAATTTGGTATGCTCTTGGACTAGTTTTGTGGAGAATTTTTGAATCTATGTTAATCTGGGACACAGGCCTATACTTTTCCTGTTGTATTCTTTTCTGGCTTTGGTATCAGATAATGCTGTCCTCACAAAATAAGTATGAAAATACTTCTACTCACTCTTTTGAAGAATTTGAAAAGGATTGGTATTACTTTTTCTTTAAATATTTGATACAAGTTAGTAGTAAAGTATCAGCTCTTGAATGTTTTCTTTTTAAAATTGGAGACTTTTTATCCTTGATTCAACCTCTTTAGTTGTTATTGGTCTGTTTAGGTATTCTGTTTCTTCATGATTCCATTTTGGTAGGTTGCATCCTTCTACAAACATTTCTGCTTCTACTAGGTTATCCAATTTGTTGAGACATAATTGTTCATAATGGGTTTTTTTTTTTAATGATTCTGTGTATTTCTGTGATATTAACTGTAATGTGTCTTTTTCTATTCTTGGTTATATTTATTTGAGTGTTCTGTTATTTTTCTTAGTCTAGCTAAAGATTTGTCAATTTTGTTTATCTCTTAAAAATTACTCATAGCTTTATTGATTAATTTAATTGTTATTCTAGTCTCTATTTTCTTCATTTCTATACTGATCTTTATTATTTTCTTTCTTCTACTAACTTTGAGCTTAGTTGTTCTTTCTCTAGTTTTTTAAGATACAACAGCAGGTTGCTAACTTGAGATTTTCTTTTTTTGACGTAGGTATTTATTGCTTAAACTTTTTCCCTTAGTACCACTTTTTCTGCATCCCATAGAGTTTGTATGTTGTGCTTCCATTTTCATTTGTGTTAAGATATTTTTAAAATTTGCCTTTAATTTCTCCTTTGACCCATTAGTTGTACAGGACCATGTGGATTGACTTCCTCATTTGTTAATTTTCTTAATTTTTTTTTAATTTCTGATTTCTAGTTTCATGCTCTTATGGTCAGAAAAGATATTTGAAATGATTCTAATTGTCTTGAATTGCTAAGACTTATTTTGTGGATATTTTTATATCATCTAAGTGTGCAATCTTCTGTATGTGCTTGAAAAAGTACATATTTTTCTGCTGTTAGATGGGATATTCTGGATAGTTCAGTAAGTTCCATTTGGTCTAAAGTATAGTCCAAGATCAATGTTTCTTTACTGATATTCTGTCTGGATGACCAGATCATTGTTAAAAGTGGAATACTGAAATACTCTGCTCTTACAGAATTCCAGTCTACCTGTCCCTTCACATCTATTAATATTTGCATTTTACATTTAGATGCTCTGATTGTTGGGGAAAATACACACACACATGTATACACACACACACACACTATATATATATACACACACATACACACATATGTATATTTTGCATATCTTCTCTCTTCTTGACTTCCTTTGTGATTAGATGATTTTCTATAGTGGTATGCTTAAGTTTTTTACTTTTTATCTTTTGTGTATTTACTATATATTATTGCTTTGTGGTTACCTTGAGGCTTACCTAGGACATCTTATTGTTTAATAGGCTATTTGAGGCTGATATCAACTTAACTTTGATTGCATAAAAAACCCTATGTTTTTACTATACCCCTTCCCTACATTTCATGTTTTTGATGACACAAATTACATCTTTTAATATTATGTATCCCTTAACAACTTACTTTAGCTGGTATTTAAATAATTTTATCTTTGAACCTTCATACTAAAAATATTAGTTATTTGCCACCCACCATTATCATATTAGACTATTCTGATTTTGATTATATACTTTTATCAATGAGATTTCTACCTTCATATGTTTTCATGCTTCTAGTTATAGTCATTTGCTTTAAACTTGAAGAACTTCCTTCAGGATTTCTTATAAGGTAGATATAGTGGTGATAGCCTCCCTCAACTTTAGTTTGTCTTGGAAAGCCTTTTTCTCTTTTTCTTTTCAGGACAACATTTTCAAGTAAAGTATTCTTATTTAGAAATTATTTTCTTCTTAGCTCTTTGGATATATTATTCCAGCATCTTCCAGCCTGTGAGGTTTCTGCTGAGAATCTACTGATAACCTTCTTAAAATGTCCTAACATGTCATATGCTTTTTTCCTCTTTTAGCTTTAAGAGTCCTCTCTTTTCTTTAATTTTTTTGATAATTAATTATAATATGTCTTGGTGTAGTCTTGTTTAGATTGAATACTACTGGAGACATTTGATCTGATTGGCTAATTATGTCTTTTTTCAGGTTTTGAAAGTTTTCAGCTATATTTTCTAAAATAATCTTTCTATCTCTTTCCCTTCTCAATCTCAAACTTCTATAATCTGAAAATGATCTCTCTCAAGACAGTTCCATAAGTCCTGTATGTTTCTTTCATTCCTTTTTATTTATTTATTCTCATTTGACTCAATTATTTTCAAATAACGTGCCTTCAAGTTCAGAGAATCTTTATTCTCCTTGATCAAGCAGCTATCAATGCTCTCTTCTCTACTTTTTATTTCATTCATTATATTCCCTAGTTCAAAATTTTCTTTTTATAAATAATTTTAATCTGTGTGAAATTTCTGTTTGTTCATTTATAATTTTCCTGATTTTTGAATTGTTTCTGTGTTTTATTGAAACTCACTGAGTTTCCTTGAACAATTATTTTGATTCTTTTTTTTTTTTTGAAACAGAGTTTCACAATCTCAGCTCACTGCAACCTCCACCTCCAAGGTTCCAGTGATTTTTCTGCTACAGCCTCCCAATTAGCTGATATTTATTATAAGCATGCACTACCATGCCTGGCTAATTTTTGTGTTTTTAGTAGAGATTGGGTTTTACCATGTTGGCCAGGCTGGTTTCAAACTCCTTACCTCAGGTGATCCACTCGCCTCAGCCTCCCAAAGTGTTGGGATTACAGGCATAATTCATGACGCCTGGCCTATTTTGATTCTTTGTAACATAGTTCTTAGATTTTTATTTCTTTGGTTTCAGCTACTGGGAACTTGTGTTTTTATTGTGGTAATTTGTATCCTTGTTTTTTCATCTTTTTTGTTGTTTTTATTGTTGCCTCATGTTAATGTCTGCCCATTTAGTAGAACAATCACTGCTTTTAGGCTTTTATGGAAGGATTTTGGTGGAGAAAGACCTTCTCATAGAGGAATCCAAAGACACTAGCTGGTGGTGTGCAGAAGTTCTGACACTTATGAGGACACAGCAGTGTAGTCTTCATTCAGCTCTGTCAGCTGAGTTCAGTGTAGACAACATTGTAAGTATCCTCATTGACTAATATTATGGATGTTCACAGTGGTAGTGAGGACTTTTGGGGTCTTTAGTGATAATGGCTGCTAGATCCTCCTGATCTCTCTTCTTCCCACCAGGAAAACTAGGCTGATGAACTCCATCTTGGCATTGGGTGCACCTTGTGGTCCTTCCTGCAATGGTAGTGGCTCAGGTATTTGATGAGGGGCAACAGAGCTGGGGCCTAAAGCACTGGCACGCCTGACTCTAGGTTCCAGGGCTATAATAGCACCTGTGCCAGGGATACAGGCACTTTTATGTGAGGTATGTGAAACAGCTAAAAAAAAATAAGGGTGGGAGCATAAGTATTTGCAAAACTACAGGCCTGGATGGGGCCTAGCTCTCTGTGAGGGCTGAACTGGTGCCTGAGTGTGGGCATATGCAGAAAGAACTTATGTCCAGGGCTTGACTTACATGCCAGCTCACTCTGGAAATGGCAGTGGTATCTGAGGCAACAGTGGGCACAGTGCATTCTTGCAGCTGGGGTCTGGAACATGAGTGTGTGTATAGCTGCAGCAGCTCTTCAGTGTGTGTGTGAAATCTCTAGTAGCTGAGTTGGTGACTAGAGCTCAGGCACAGAAAGGCCTTGTGTACAGGGTTTGGTGTACAAAGTAGTTCACTATGGTGATTGCTGTGGTGTCTGACATGTGGGCAAGCATAGGGCTGCCACATGGAATGGGCATTTGCAGAGCATCTGTGGCTCTGAGATCAGGGGCAGGTGAAGAGTTGAGAAAGGTGGAAGCTCCAGTCTCAAAATGGTACAATAGCATGTGCTTCTGGTAGGGAAAGTGTGCAGCTGCATGTCTCTCTCTGGGATTTTCTAGAGAAAATTGCTCTTGGTTATTTTAATGGCTAAAGATGCCAGTGTCCTCTGTGCAGCAGTATGCTGGGGACTATAGTAGTTCCTGCTATGTGGCAGATACCAATAATGTTTGCTTTTCTTCTTTATATCCATCATGGCTCTTAGACATGCTGACCTCATCAGCATGGTTTTCTTATATGGATAGTCTCTGTGTTTTTTTCCTCCATTGTGTTGCTGCAAATTCTTAAATGGGCCCTTAGCCATCCCAACTCTGTTTGTTTTGTGGATAGTTATCTACATTTGTGTTTTTTGTGTGTGAGGGATGAAGTTATTTTTGTTTGTGGTATCTTCTGCTCTGCCATCTTGATGATGCCATTTCAGAGTGTCTTATTTTTGTGTAATGCATCTGAATCTTCTTAAGTACTGTATTATTTTGTTATATTTTTGTTTGTACACTGATTCTTCAAATTTCTGTATTTTTGACTTTTGTATTCTAGTTTTAACCTCTGTTTGTCTCTAGCAGTAGTAGATGCCCTTAAATAATATGTTATTTTATATACGTAACTGCATTGTGTCTCATATCTGGTTATAGCAGTATTCTTATCAGGATCCTTTGTGTTGTGAAAAGCAGAGGAATCTTGACTTTATGGAGTGAAGACTTAAAGAAATTATCAAGATGATCTTCATTTTCTCCTCAGTTTGACTGAACTTTGGACAGCTTTTCCTGAACACAGACTCCTTTGATCTCTTTTCCAAGGTAAGTATTTACTTCAGCAAACTCAAATTGCAAATGTTTACTCTGTCCCTTTTAAAAGAATCTTGCCAGTTTTGTAATTTAAGAATGTCTGTGTTAGAAATCTAGGTTGGATACCTTTGAAATGTACCCATCAAGGATGACAGTCCTCTAAGTTTGTGGGACAATAGAAGCCTGACTTTAATGGACACCAAATTCACAGACACCAAATGCTTAATAACAGAGAAAAAAATTGCAAACTTAAGAATAACTATCCTATCCCAAAGATCATACTCCCTAGCATTCTCCAGTGTGTTCCCAGTAGCTCACCCCAGCACTTACAATCTCTCTTGACTTTTCCTTTAGTAGACTTGGGTTCAGTCTTTCTCCTCTATTGTAGTAGCCTTGATTGAAATCTTCCTTGCTTATTTAAATTTCTTGAGGTTTCTTTTGCCTACTTATGCAACTTTTTACTTAATACTCTAGGCTCTGATGCTCTTCTTCAGACATGTTCCAAACCTATCTGTATGATTGGCCAAATTGTTGCCAAGTCACACAAACCTTATAATCCCTTAAAATCACCAAACTACTAAATGCTTATAAAAAGTTAAATAACATGAAAAACTATCAAGTAAAAAGGGGAGCCCCATCTTACAACTCTTTTCCTCCAATCTCATTAGTTCAATGATTTGCTAGAAACATGCAGAATTTTGTGTTGATTTGTTTTGTTTTGTGAAAATTTAGAATCATGCTAATCATATTTGTCTCCTTATCTTTATGCACTGATATATCTTAAATATGTTTAAACTTTGAAGTCTTGTAAAATTGATACTTTTGAAGTCATTCCGTGCCAGACTCCCACATTAAATGCTGGTCAAAAGCAAAGCACTTATCCAATTAAAATGTTACACACATCATCATAACATTCTCTGAAAGGAATGCTACCAAGCTTCAACAAAAAAATGTAATTCCTTGTTTTATGAACATTCACTTTGAACAGAATTTTCTCTTAGGGCTTTTAAATTTCAGGTAACTTTAGTAGAAATAGAAAGACTTTTATTAAACTATAGATGAACTAGTTGAAAAAATGGGCTTATTTGACATATTGATCATAATGACAGTTGTTCAACACAATAAATAGTCAAAAATGAGTATTTCTTTCTAGTCATTGATTTTCAGCTATTTTGTGAATCAAAAGGATGCATTTCTAACTTTTATGCACCTTGAAGTATTTTAAACCTTTCATCATTTGTGAAATTGATGGTGGGGGGACTAACATTTCTTTTTTATGAACTCTGGAAATGTTTGGGAATTTTTTTGTTTTTAGTATTTAGAAACAATTTTCTTTAACATATCACTAATTGTGCATTGAGATTGCATATACTTCCTTCTGTAGCTTCAATCTTGAAAGCAGAAATTGTTTGAAATTATAATTTAATCGTATGTAAGGATAAACATTAAGCATAAAATATTACTGAAATAGTCTGCATAAGATCAAAATATATATGCAATGGGAAAAGATGAACACATGATTAAAATAAATGAAGTGGACATCATTAATAGAACATGAATCAATTTTAACTTTAGAAAATATAAAATGTTATTCAAGTTGTTTTTAAAACTTGGAAATTTGCATTGAAACAGTCACCCGGAGCTAGAAATAAAATAAAAATTCATAAACACAGACAAAACAATCATACAGGTAAGAGACAAAATAAAAAACAGAAAGGTAGAAAGATATAGAAATGATAAAATACGTAATTTGAAACACCTCTATATACACAAAGTTAGTAATATGTGCATTAACACATATTACTATGTGAAAATACATTTGCCATTTCCGGTTATTTATTTATGAACCTATCAAATACTTGATATTTATTTTTGTATAAATCACTTAGCAATTAGTATGCATGATACCTAATTGCCCAAAAATAATCCTAACTGTATTTGCTATTTCTATGGAACTAATGAGATCGTCTCTAACATTCATGACAAGAAAGAGGTATACACTAGGATCTCCGTAGGAGAAACTTTGCCTACATTTGAAATATTATTTGAAGTAATAAAACGGATTTAATTTTGGTCTATAAGTTGAATTGTATCTTCATAGACAGATGGTGTCAGAAGTGGGATCTGAAGTAGAGTTTCCAACGTCCCTGAGGAGGACTGAGTGATGACGTGAGGTAGCCACAGGACTCATTTGTGTCTGTTGGTCTCTTGGGGCAGCAAGTGCTCCTCATAGGTTCTCTGTTGTATTTCAGGGCTTCACAGATTTGCATTTTGAGCTCTCTGGGTTTCTTTGAGCAAATTTATGTTCCAAACTGGATTTGGAAGTTATGACATAAACTGGACTGGATCTGGGATCAGATCTGGTGCAGTAATTAACTGGCTTGGATCCAGTTAGAGGCCTCTTACATCTGACTGGGTCAGAAAGAAACTGATAGTAAATGCCAATATTGCAGGGGGTGTAAAATTTGGCTTTTGGAAACTCTCAGGAATTTTTGTGTTCTACCCCTTTGTTTCATTTTTCTTGTGCACTTAGGTAGGAAAAAGTTAATCAAATGAACCACAGAGCAAAGCCAGTATCTTAGGTAAAAATGGAATGTTAGTTTCTGAAGAACGGAATTCCTTCTGGCTTATACATGACGTAAGTGTTAGGCCTCAGATGTAGCAAAGTCTTACAGAAGTGGTGAAATCTTACTAAAGGTAACTTAAAGTGGAATGTTTCAAATGAACAAAACTGCACCGAAGTGTATTTGAAAATGAGGGTTCCCAAATTATTCTCATCTAGGGATGTCTATTGCTAAGCAGAAACTTCTAAAAAGATTTTGGTATTTTTATTTGAAGACTTTATGAAAGGCAAATAAAAAGCTTAAGTGACTAATTGATAAAAAGAAAATTTAAACCTGTTAACATTTTAGCTTAGTTTCTATCCAGATCCAAAGGAAATAGACTGCAGCACCAGTTGACTGACATGGAGTAAGTAATGGGTACATTTTACCTGGGTAAAGAATGGGATTGGGTTAGAGGTTCTCCTCTCAGTAAAGTCTCTCTTGGTTAAAAATGGATTTGACACTATGGGATTTTAACTGCTATTCTCTTTGGATTAATCCCCCTTGTACTTTTTGCTGATGTCTGTGAGTGAGAGGATTAGGCATGTGCAGGATCATTAAACATGGCGACATTTTTCTCCCCAAAAGGGGAAACATGAGAGTTAATGGAAGTGCTGTAAAAGATCTCTTTGCTACTGACAAATGACTACCTCTCTTTCTCTCTCTCTGTCTCCCTTTCTCACTCCATCTCTTTGCAAACTGGTTGAGTAATGGTAAAAATCACTATTTCTTACAAAGTTTTAATTAATGAGAAAAAGTATTTGAGGGGCTAATCTTAAGCTATAGTAAATCTAGTGTATGTTGTGCTTTGAATTTGTCTTTCTATGTTGTTCTGTCATAGAGAGGGGTGCCTTAAGATAGATAGAACATGGGCTTAGGACCCCATAAGCTTGCTGTTCAAGATGGCCCAGCAACTGGTCAGTAACAAACTATGCTGCAGGTCCCTGAAATAAACAAAAAAACTGGATGAAGTCTTCATCTTGTTTTATGTCCTTGGAAGCTTGGCTTTCTAGGCACATGGCAGTACTCTTCCTTGGTCTTTGCCATCTGGGGAACAGGAATTTCGGGGTTCATGTTATGGTAAAGTCTAAAAATTATCTTGTGTAGTTAAAAGACATTGCAGGCTCAAAATTGACTGCCCTAGTCTTTTTCTGGGAAAGGCAATGAAAACTGCCCAGTGCTGTAGTTCAGCAGCTAAGGCATTGCCATTTTACAATGGTGGCTTGGGTTAAATCCTGGCTTAGGGAAAGAGTCCTTTCTGGTTGGATATCTGTGTGACCTTTGTTTTGATTCTTTTCCCCTCCACAAACCATCTTGAATTTTTCTTTTTCTAAGCTACCTTTGGAGATTCTAAATCTTATAAAAAACTGTTAACCACCTCCTTGAAAATACTTCATGCACTTGTGGTTAAGTCATAACCTTAGTTGTTGGCTTGTTGCTTTCACCTGTGAGGTTACATTTGGTAAACTTTAAAAGCAGAAATTGGCCATTTGGCCTGGCTGGAGTCGGGTAATAAAAAATTTAAAAGGACTTTTTTAAAAGAGCGCTATGGTTTAAAAGTCAGCTTAATTGAAAGTGGATATTCAAGTTATGTATATATTTAAAAGGACTTTATGATTTTTTTCTCTTCTTAAATCTTGTTTTTCTGGAAAAAAGTTTCTTTCTTCTCGGTTGACTGAATTGTTTGTATCCATTTTTGTCTTGCTACTCTCAATGCATATGAAAGGACCTAAGATCATTTCTAATAGCCTCAGACTCTTGGGAAAAACAGAAGAGGCACCACAGGTCCTGTTTTTGGAAAAACCTCTGTTTTCCTCATAAAACCCCAGCAATTGAAAGCAGATAGATCCCTTTCATAAACTAATGGTAAATATACTTTAGGGATGGCTAATGGCAGTTATAGGAGAACACTTAGCTCTTTGCACCTTTAGATCAAGGAAGCATGCTTCTGGCCACCTAGAAAGTATGGAAATGTCCCCAGTCCCACTGAGATAAGGCTGCCATGGGCGATGGGATAATCACAGAATGGGCTGATAAGTTTTGGGTTGCTTTGCAATAAAATGCATGGTAAAAGCATTTCACTGTCTTCTTCCATGGAACTTCCCTCTTTTGAGGATACCGTATGAGATATATAAATGGGAACCTTAATTTGGGGTATCTGTGTTTTCCTTCCAGCTGTGCTTGCTTATTAGGCCTTGGAAACTTCATGTTTTCCTAGCCATGTTCCTCCAGGGACTCCACCCTACAGTGAGTAATCCAATTAAGAAACTTACAGACTGGCAAATGAAACACCCTACAACTTCTGGATCTTCTTCTGTCTTTCTGTGTTGTAATATATGTATCGTGTGTGTGATGCTTATATGAAAGAGTTCTACTTAATTGGCTTAAAGAAAAATAAGTGCTTTAATATTTTGTTAGAAAAATAAAAACTAATACCTTTTGGTTCACATCACCTTAGTAAGCTTTTGAAAATAAAGAGTTTTAAAGATTATTGGTCAAATAAAGACATTGGTCTAAATTAGGCAGGTAAGATATTAGGTTTACTAATTGCTTTAAGGTCATAAACTAGTTTGACTTCTGAAAATTGTTCAACTTAAATGCTTCAGAGCTATTAGATTCCAAATAAGACCTGGGGATATGTGGCATTACCTATGCCCCCAGCTATGCTGAAAAGAGTCAGACCTCATCTGCACTTCTGTATGGTGTCTTGGGCTCCACAGCTAGTACATAATAAAACAACTTACCAGGTTATTCACCAAAATTAAAAATTGCTAAGAGTTACCATTATAACATGTAATTGAAACTGCTGAAGAAACATTCTTACATGCAAGGTGTGTGAGGAGAGTTAAAGGTGTTTTTGGTAAAATATTATAAGAAGGCAAAGGAATGAACATTTTTGCCTCATTTAGAGGGCTAAAGGATAGTTTTAAATTAGGTAAGATAAAGCTAAAGGTTTGAGCAAGTTGTGGAAGGTTCGTAAAAAAACTAATCTTATAAAATATATCACATGTATGAACATATTGGTTAAATTTAAAGGGTTTTTACTTTAAATTTAACACTGAAAAAAACCTCAACATGGACTTCTTAGAGCACTGATCAACTCTTTAACAAAAACTTGTAAGAGGTCATAAAAGGCTTATCAGAATCTCACCTTATGGTCAGACTGATTAAGATTGAATCAATTTGTCTGTAAGGTTTTATCAAAGACTGGCATTGGCATTAATAGTACACTAATGAAAGGATGAAATTTGGCTTTCTCTCTTGAACAAAGTTTTCATGTAATATTAAATGATAATGAAAGATTTTTGTGTGCTATTTCAATAAACTCGCAAAAAAGGGGAAAGACAAGAGACTAATTGTTTGAAAAGCTGTCTTCCCTCTATCCATGAGTAAAGGTTTTTGTGTTTTTAAAAAATTTTTGAGTCATAGTTTTGGTTAAATGAATTACTTTTGGTGACCTGGAATTTTATTTTATAATATCAAGTATTTTAAACCTTTAGCATATTTGATAGGCTTCCTAAAATTAAATTTCAGCTTCAAAATGGTCCTTTCTGGCCTCTAACTTTGGGATACTACAGAGGGCCCCTGAAACATCCAAAAGAGAGGTAACAGGATTATCTGACATGTTAAGTTACATGGAAACCACTATCAAAATAAAAATAATGTTTAACCTTCTTCAGTTTATATTTTAGTAATTGATATTAATATATGTTCCAAAATTATATGGAATTTCTGAAGTTCTAATTTCTGAGTATATGCTATCAATCATAATTATAGTTATTATGTTAAGTTACTGTAGACCACAGAAATAACATTTCCTTGTCAATTGTGTTTTTAACTATGATTATTTAAAGACATTTCCACAGTTAATTGTTTAATGCTGATACAGATTCAGAAAACTTTACAAGCACACCAAATCCTAGAAAATAGTATTTTTAGGAGGTTCATTAAAGAATATAATGGACCCTGAAAAGCACTCTTGAATACACGTTCCTAGTAACTTTAGAATCATATCATTCGGACTGGGTAAAAATTCCTGGGACTTTAATGAAAAGACTGATTGGTTTATAAACTGCTAACCCAAGCAGAACAAAAATTAATTGAATATCAAGAAAATACTCTGCCAGGTGTTCATATTAAATCAGCCAATACCAAATTTAATAAACTGCATGGTCTAAGTCAAATTGCCAGTGATAACCCATCACTCATCAGTGCTATGCACCTAAACTGGAGAAACAACTGATATTCATGAGGACATAAGTTAATGTTAATTAAGCATGAACCAGGACAACCACCTTCTCTTTCCCAAGTCCTTACATCTTTTGTTATTAAAGGTTATGAATTCCATGGCTCATCATGAAAAAGATAAAGTGATCCAAATTAAAAATATATTGGTTAGATGACTTCTAAATTGCTAAAACAGTTTATGACTAATGTTCTGTTTGTCAAACCCATATTCCTGGGAAGACAATCAAAGCTGCAAGTACATTTGACTACCTGATAAACCATTTAAACAATTATAGAGGGATTTTGTTTAATTATAATTTTCAATGCATGTTTCTGGTTGTATAAAAGATTTCCCATGCAAGCAGGGTGATGTTATAATAGAATATTATTATCCCACACTGTATTTTCACCAGATAAAGCTTTTTATAGTTCCCTGACTGAGGACAGTCAACACCTTTGCTGTCTAGAACACAAAGATTGAATTTTCTGAGAACATCAGAAGACTGCCCTTGCCATCTACACTGTGGCAAAACCTCAAGACCTTGAAACTTAGGTTCATAATCTCACAACTGAAAAGGGTTCCTCCACACTCTTGGAACTATACACCTATTAGTGTACACCATTTTAAAGTAAAACTAACCAGGGAAGTTTCTCCCCAGAAGATGATGGCATCCTTGATGTGAACAGTGTTTTCCAAGATCATGGATCAAGACTTCTGAACAATCATGAGACATTTATCTTGAATATTTTTGCCTTGTTTATGCCTCTATGAACAAAAGAAGTGAAAAGGTGGTCTGTTGTGTGCACTTATGGGGTACATTTTTATTTGTAAAGGATTTTGCAGCCAGCCTTATACATGGATATCTTCATTCCTTGATAGATGAAAGAGGAAGGTCCAATGTAGGTGAGAAACTTTAATGGTGCATATTTTGCCTTAAAATCAGTCAGAAACAGAACATTGATTCACTCCTTTTTTGGGTCCTTTTGTTAGGTCCTTTTTTATGGGTTGGAGTAAAAGAAGCAATGATTAGAAGTGTATCCATGATAGGCTTTATAGCAGATTCTACTGTAAAGGCTATGGTTACATAACAGACTTTAAATTGTCTTGTGAAAGCTATGCTAAATAATAGAATTCTCTAGATTACTTACTGACTAAACAAATCTGTGCAGCTGCTGTACTTGTGGCCTGTGGAAAAATATCTCAAATGTAGATTATAGAGATTTATTTGTAGGGGATTAATAAAGAGACTACTTAGTTAAGTAAATCTTAAAGACTCCCTTAGAATCTTTAAGCTAGATAAAGAGCTTCATCTTTGGCTGGGTGCAGTGGCTCATGCCTGTAATCCCAGCGCTTTGGGAGGCCAAGGTGGGTGGGTCTCAAGGTCAGGATATCGAGAGCATCCTGCCCACATGGTGAAACCCCATCTTCACTCTTCTAAAGCACAAAACACAAAAAATACAAAATACTAAAATACAAAAATTAGCCAGGTATCGTGGTGTGTGCACCTGTAATTCCAGCACTTGGGAGGCTGTGGCAGGGGAATCACTTGAACTCAGGAGACAGAGGTTGCAGTGAGCTGAGATCACGCCATTGCACTCCAGCCTGGCGACAGAGCAAGGCTGTCCAAAAAAAAAAATCTTTATCTAGCTCATCCTTTGATCTATTTGATTTTAGATGGATTGGTTTATGGGGATTCTGGATAAGGAGCATACTTAAAACTCTTGGCATTATCCTCCCGAGAGTCAGAATAGTAGTCTACCTGTGTGCTGTGTTCTGTCACAGTTTTAACTGTTTGCTTACAGCAATCTTTAGAATGTCAAGTGGCCTCTCTTCAACCAGAATGACAAGAGCTGAAGAAATGTGTCATCATGAGGATGACATAATCTATGCAACATACTGAGACTGGAAACCCAAAATGATGGTAACTGAGAGTGGTGCTAAGGCCCTAAGTTTTGGTCATACTGTCACCTACCTGCCCAAAAGGGGGAATTTTTACTACAAAATTACAGGAGTCCATTGTTTTGGACTGAGCTCATATGCTAGGCTCCAACAGACCAGACCAAACTAAAATAGAGCTGCTCATGTTAAATGTGCCATAATCAAACTAATACTTTAAGGTAACACATAAGTCCTAGAACAGACAAGAATTTACTTTCCTCCTGTAAACAGGATACATTGGCACAAGGAGGTACCCTCTACTGAGTCCTTGTTCTCACCTTGCAAAACCTGCTATTGTACTTTTTCCCGGTAGGTTTTAAGACCAATGGTGATAGTGACATCAGTGACTAAAGTTTTGGTCAATCTCTCAAAGTGAAAAAAAATTACCAAAAGGGGGAAATTGTTAAATGAAGTTTAACCTAAAGCCACCTTCTTGCATAACTAAGGTTCAGCCTAAAGGCTTTCTGTACATTGTGAACTATAACAAGTGGAAGTGTAAGCAGACCATAGCCTACACTTGTGCCAATCACTAAGTTTTGATCAATCAAAAGTACCCAACTGTTCCAACTCTTCAAATAAGGCAAATGCCAAGCTGTAACCAACCCAGCTGTTTTTGTACCTTGCTCTCATTTTCTATAGGTCACTTTTCTTTTCCTGTCCATAAATCTTCCATCATGTGGCTGCACTGGAGTCTCTGAGCCTTCTCTGGCTCAGATGGCTGCCTGATTCATTGATCATTCATTGCTCAATTAAACTCCTTTAAATTTAGGCCAAAGTTTTTCTTTTATCACTATCAATACTATACTCTGGAGATAAAAACAAGATAATATTAAAATCCAGATTTGACAACAATTTTAAGTAGAAACTCCTTTTTAAACAGGACATAGTGTTTAAAGCAGTATGTTCTTTACTCCGGATGTTAAGTAACCTTTTCTCTTAAAAGTGTCTCTTTTGGAGAAATTTAATGTCTGATTTTTTTTTTTCTGAGATTGAGGTACATTAATTCAAAAACTCTTAATCTAGCCTGAAGTAAACAAAATAAATAGCTAGGAACAGAAGATGTATGCTGTTTGTTAAACTATATAAACTCATGTGTATCACAATATGATGTTTCACTAACAAATAATGAAACTGTGCTTATCACATATATATATATATATATATATATATATATATATATATATATACACACACATACATATACATATTTCAGCAGACAAAAATAAATTTCCCAAATAGAATAAGCTGCTTGGTTTGGAGCATTGTTGCTATTTATGCTGCAAAATTGCTTCTTCTCAAAATTATAATTGTGAAATTTCCTAAACGATGTACTATATTATTACCTTTTATAATAGTTTAAAAATAAGGTTCCTCAATGGTACAACTTCTCTGAAACAAATAAATTTGGCCTCTATAATAGTCTTTGGAGAGGTTCTACATTCTATATTGCAAAAATTCAAAGATCAGCTGCTAACATAAATAAATTCTGTAAATCATTCAGAAAACTTTTGCTAGTAGGATTAACAGAAGACTAGAAATATGTATTTCAGGATATGCAAAGATTAGACCAAACTCTCAGTCTCAGGAAGGTGACAGTAAAACTCTGCTCACAGTTAGAAGTTTAAAGACTACTAATCCTGATATGTGAGGTGTCATCCTAGTGAATGAAAAGTTCCAGACTGAAAGGACAAAGCCCAATAAATAACTTAGCACTTCACATGAAGGGGCATCAGATGTTAGCAAAATTATTGATCTTTACAGAGTTGGGTGGGTAGAGACAAATAGAATACCTCGAGGGAAGTGACTGTGTTGTGTTTTAAGGAAAGAGAAGAAAGAATGTGTCATAGATAGAAAAAGGCATGTGTATATATTGCACTGTGCATGAAAGGGAAGCTTGGATGTGCTGTGGGATCATGTGTTTTAATAAGACAAGTTGGGTGAGCTTGTCTGTGAGGATGTCTGTGCACATCAAAGAGGAAGACTGGAAGCATCAGTGGCTAGAATTTTAATAAAATAATAATAAAATAAAATCACCAGATCATTAGCTGAGTTTGCCTGCTGGCTACAGAGTAGGTAGCTTCTATTTCATTGGAACTGATTTTGGGAAATCAAAGGTTTTCAACTAATACTGTTGTATTTAAATGTGTGCCCTTATGTTTCCTTTATAAACACCCATTCAAATTACAAACAAAAGCTAATTAATGAATATTCTAAGGTATCCAGAATTTAAAAAAGTGTATTCTACAACTAATAGAAAGTAAATGGCACAGATGATTAGCCCATCAATCTTGGAACTTACTCCAAATAATGTGTAAATTTGAAACTATTAAAATGCTTGTGTTAGAAGCAGATTGTATTTATACAAATAAAGAAGATTCTGGAAATTCAGTTAAGTTGCCTCAAATATAAATATATATTTTTCAAACTGTAACTATAATAAAATTCTGGTTAATAGGATGAACTGACCTGATGTAGAAGGACAACCCTACTCATCACATGTATATATACACACACCCCCCACCATGTACATATATGTCAGGTATGATGTAATCCTTTTAAATTCCACAGTTGCCTTTTCAAATAAAAAAGGTTGAACAATTTTCAGAAACTGAAACAAAAAAAGTAGAATATTTGTTGAATGTGAGCCAAAGTAGCAAACATACAAGGCTATAAGAACCAGTAAAATCTCTTAGAGATAGAGGTTTTAATGATCAAACAGAAAGAATGAATAATGCCTTGTACAATATTGGAAACAGATACAATCCCTGGATAAGTCAGGGCTCTACTGATTACCTCATCTTGGAAGAGCAACCAGAGCAACTGTGCCTACAGGTGTTGGGAAGCTGTAGAAGGGTAGCTATCTAAGCAGGGCTAGACAAGGAAGAAATGCTATCAAGGAGGTTTCTGAACCTCAAGCTTGACTCATTTTGCTGAAGGGCCTAACTAATACAATGCTAGCCCTACGGTCCTGAAACACTGAACCAAGAAATTGATATAAAGCTGGTTCTGAACAGTTGAAATTCAGAGGGCTCTCACAAAAGCAGCTTGAAATATAGCCTAGATTTGGGGAATGCTTATAGAAAGTAATTCTCACTGAAAATGAATTTACAATCAGAAGTTATAAAATACATAAGATTAAAACTAGAGAACTGACATGCTATGAGCATGAAACAGAGAAAAATATGAAATAATTTCTTGAAAAATTCAATGAGATTTAAAATAATTCTGGCAATCTGGTACGCTCAGTGTCTGGATAAACTATTCCTGGACAGAACATCTAACAATCTGGATAGTGTATTTAATGTGTCTTTTTAAATGTATAATTGAACTGATAGGAAGTAAGACACAAACTTCAGAGGTCAAGAAATGATGACAAATATAACCTGAAAAGTTGAGAAAGGACTGAAACTGACATTCACTCATCTGCTCATCCATGGTAATGTGGAGTTTTTGTTTTCATATTAAATAACTAAATCACATTATTTAAGTACAAGAAGACTGACTTTTTGATGTCACAATAAATACTATATAATAAAAGAAAAGACAAACCTCTTAATTTTACCTTGGTGAAGAAGCAGCAGATTTTGAACCTGTTGAGGGAGATTTTACAGATTTGAGGTTCAGTTCTGCCACTTAAAAATAGTCAAAGCATAACATACATTTAGGGTATGGTTTAAGTGAATGCTTACATATCTATACCTGCTACTCACATTAATACTATTTTAGAGCACATCAAGATGGCTGTTACATATATACCCACTATTCAATAACCAACCAGGAAAACTGTTATCATGACTTGTATCATCCTATATTTACATTTCCTGTTATTTCACTTTGTAAAAATGAAATCTTTTGTATCTGACTTCAGTTAACACAATGTCTGTGAGATGCACCCACATTAGGTGTAGCAGTACTTTACTCTTTTTGCTGTAAAATATTTCACTATATGATTATACCACAATTTGTTTATAATATCTGCTCTTTAAGTGTATTTGGGTTGCTGCCACTTTTTGACAATTAAAAACAGGGCTGCTGTAAAAATTCTTGCACATGTAGCTCAGTGAATGCGTTTACACATTCTATTAGTTATATGCCTAAGAATTAAATAGACATGTCATAGGGTATAATATATTAAGCTTTAGCAGACACTGATAAATAGTATTTCAAAATCATTTCTTCTCATAAGCAGTGTATGGAGTTCCAGTTTCTCCACACCTTGGCCAATATTTGATAATGTAAGGCTCTTTAATTTTGCCACCCTAGTGGGTATGAAGTACATTGTGCATTGTGGTTTTAAGTTTTCCTAATGAAGGATACAGTATAACACATTTCAAATGCTTATTGACCATTTGTGTATTCTCTTTTGGGAACAACCTTATTAAAATGTTTTAAGTGGTTTTTCTTTTTTCCTCCTTAGTGTCTGAAATTTACTGATTGCATTGTAGAAGGAAATTACATATTTTGGATACAAATTTTTTTGGTTTCATGTATATACATTTCTTCCACTCATGAATGGCATTTTTACATTCTTCATGGAATCTTTTGATAAACAGAAGTGTTTTATTCTAATGAAGTTATACTTATTAATATTTTCTTTATAGTTAGGACTTTCTTTACCTATTTAAGAAAAAGTTTATGGTGTAACAAGATAAACTGAATAAGCTACAAAACTATGATGCTTTATTTTTTTAAACCCATCAGAGAACTTATGATGAATAGAAATCTAGGTGAATTATATTTCAATGAGGCAGGAGCCTGTCCTTGGAGAGAAGAACCCACAATTGCTTTTGTTTTTCCACATACAGTGAAAAGAGAGTGAACCTGTCATAGAATAGCATAAGAAAAACCCAGAATAACTTTTAAAGAATTGTAATGGCTGCGTATGCTCTGGTGTGACTACCAGTTTTTCAAGGAATCTCAGTATCTGCCTTTCCTCCAGTTGTTTCACACAAAGCCTTCGCTGAGTGCATTTTAGTAATGCATTTTATAATGTGGAAAGAACAATGTGACTGACAGAGTACTCCTCAGAAGCATGGGACCTTCAGTTACTCAGCCGCCTAAAAACAGAACATAGGAAATGAAAAAGTATTCTCTCAGGTACACAAGGTTAGTTGGTACATGGAAGTAGTGACCTCAAGATTGGAGGCAGGGCAAGAGGGTTGGAGAAAATCCTCTAGGTGACAAAGCCTTCACTGAGCATGTTGTCACCACACTGCTGCTGAAGGACAGGGGCAGGTAAAAGGGTTCTGAAAGATTCCCTGAAGGTACAGAAGAGTTTCACCAAATGCATACAAATGCATGGAGGCTGGTAGGAGGGTAGGGCAGTGGAGAGAAAGTTCCACATTGCACAGCAGATCTTTATTTAGTTCAAAGTAGCGGCTCTCTGTGGGCTAGGATTAATGCAGTAGGGTGGAGAAAGACCCCTCAAAGGTGAAAAGCCAAGGGCAGGGCTCAAAAGAAAAGAGAACTTCATAGTCATTTGGAAGTCTGGATATCAGACTATAAGGCAGAAGTAGATCTCCCACAGTTCAGAAATTTACTTACTGAACTGTAAAACAAAGAGATTTCTAGAGTGTGACCAAGACTCAGATCCCAAGCCATTCTGAAATAAATATTCTTATCTCAAAGTCAAAAATTTTAAACAAGTGGTAAAATGAGAGTCCTGTCAGACATGCATGTAACTAGATCTGCAACAGAGCCTGAAACCAACTTAACCATAAATTATATTGATTCTTTCCACCACCCTCATAGCAACCTGATAGCTGAAGAAATATTTCCTTTTTGGGTGCAAATGTTATTTATTTTAATACTTATATTTCTTAAACATGTAATGTTAATATGTGGTAAAAAATATAAGATATGTAGTGAAGCAAGAGCTTATGAACCATAAGCAATAGGGGTAAAACAGTCAATCGTAGCTGACCCATATTTATCTCATTTATTAGAATTAGAAAACCTAGACTTTAAAATAACTATCGTTAATATGTTAAATTGATCTAGTAGAAAGGTAGACAAAAATGCATGAACAAACTGGGAATTTTAACAGAAAAACAAAGTAAGAAAATAATCAAAATAACATAACAGAAAAAGAGTATTAACAATGAAAAACGTATTTTATGGACTTAACAATGAATCAAACACAGTGAGGGAACGTGAACACAGGTCAAAACTAAAGCTTAAGGAGAAAATATCTATATCTATATCTATATCTATATCTATATCTATATCTATAATCATCCATCTGTCTACATAATCAAATGTTCTAGGTAGATAACAATATGAGTTAGTATCAAATATTCTAACATATTTGTAACTAAATTTCTAGAAATAGGTAAAGAAAAGGAGGAGTGGGAAGAAATTTTTGAACAGATAGTGGCTGGAAATTTTTCAGAATTAATGAAAGATGGAAATCCACAGGTGTAAGGAGCTTAGTAAACTGCAAGCAAGGTTAAACACATAAACATGCGCGTGCACACACACACACACACACACACCCCTAAACGCCTCATAATAACCAAACATCTGCAAACTAAAGATATTCTTAGGTAAACCTACCTAGCTAGCTTGTGTACTCATGTGGTCTTAAAACTAAACTTTGACCTGGATGGCCCTGTTGAGGAGGGTATCGACCAGGGAGATTACCCTCTAATGGTTGTTTGCTTTGGGCATGGGAATCTGTCTTTTAATCTTCAACCTCTAGTGGTTTGACTCAGGCCTTTGTCAATTAAACTTTACTAAATAAATGCCAGTCTCACTGGCTGGTGGTGGCCTATAGTCACAACTGTTTACAACACTCTCCAGGGTGCCTGTAAGCCATGCTGACACACTCAGTCAAACTGGTAAAGCATAATATCTGTGTGTCAATGTATTTTATTTATCTGTTGCTGAGTCAAGGTCTACAAGACAGACACCCATAGATGGTGACCCCATCAGTGGTGCCCAACATGGGGTGATCCCAACAATAAAATATGGCTGACAATGAAGGCTGGAAGATAGGTAGCATCTTTAAAGTCACCTTAAAGTCACTCAAAAAAAAAAAGAAAAATCAACTCAGAATTCTTTACTAAATCAAGTATCCTGTTAAAATGAAGGTAAACTAAAAATATTTTCAAAAGCAAAGGCTGAAAAATTTGAGCAATAGCATTGAACTTTAAAATATATTATAAAAATGATTTTTTAAGCTTAAGTAAAAATATTTATTTCCTTTAAGACCATTGACTGTTTAAAGCAAATATAATAAATGTGTATTGTGGAATTAAATTTATGACAAGAGCAAAATGTTGGTGATGAAAGAAATAAAATTACTTATTTGTGAATATTATTATTATAATATGATATAATATAATATTTAATGTTATTCTGTGATGTATTATTCTAATGATATTCCTGTGCAGTTTTGATGTTAAGCTTGTGAGATTCTGATAAAAACATTGGGATGGTAAGACTTCTTTTTCTTTTATTGGGAACAGTTTGTATGATTGAAATATTTTTTTCTTCCTTAAATATTTGGAAAAATGTATTGGTGAGTTTAACTCTGCCAGGAGATTTAATTGTGTCAAAGATTTTAGTTAACAGATTCAATTTATTTAATAGGTATCAAACTTCAACAATTTATTTCTTCATTTGTCAGCTTTAGTAAGCTATGGCTTTTATTGTTTTTGAGAAATTATCAAATTTATTTTTCTAAAGTTATTCATCACATTTTATATTATCTTTATGATGCTGTCAAATCTGCAGTATTGCCCTATATTCTATTGTCTTTTGATTTTTTTGTGTATCTTGTGTTTTATTTCCATTTACTTTTTCATAATTTTGGATCTTATATTTCTGTTTTTATATTTGTTTCTTCTCCCTACTATATTTCTTAGATTTTATTTGCCGTTCTTTTACCTGTTTCTTGAAGTGGAAGCTTTAATGAATAATAAAAGTTATATAGCTTGCCCTATCTTCTCTATGTAAGAACACCTACGTTTTGTGTGTTTCTTATTGGAATCATTTGCTCTTTGAACGTAATGCAATTGGGATATGCTGTCTTATGGCTAATTTAAAAAATTTAATGGTGATATTAAAAAATTATGCAAGTATATTTTAAACATAGTTTTTATCTTAAAATATATAAACATAAACGGAATTATTAGCTGTACTGTGTTGAATAGTGTCTCCTCATAACTCAGGTAGACCTGAAACCTGTGACTGTGACCTTAGTTGTAAATAAGATCTTTGTAGATGTCATCTTATTAAGATAAGGTCATATGGAGTTATCTAATGATGAATACCCTTATAAGAAGATGGAAATTCAGATCCACACAAAGAGAGGAGAAAGCCATGAAAAGATGGAGGCAGAGAATGAAGCGATGTGTTTACCAGCCAAGGAACACAAAAGACTGTGTAAACACCAGAAGCTACAAGAGAGATATGGAGCAGATATTTCCTCAGAGCTTCCAAAAGGGAATCAATCCTGTCAGTTCGATACCTTAATTTCAGACTTTGAAACTCTGAAACTGTGAGAGCACACTTTTATTGTTTTAAGCTACCCAGTTTGTGGCAACTCTCAGAAACTAAAAAACTAGATAATCTCTTAATATGGAAGGAATGAATCTTTTGTTCAATTTGGGTTCACTGACTAAAATTTCAAAGAGTCTTTTTTTTGTCTGTTTTTTTTTCTTAAATTGCAGTTTCCAGTTTCAATTTTTAAAGGGAATAAAGGCGTAACATTTGTGAAGCAATCTGAATGCAGGATTTATGAAATATTTACAGTTAATACACCTAATCCTTTATTGTTCTCTTGTTTACAACTATTTTTAAAGCAATTTTAAATGACATATTACATTTATCTAATGTTAAATATTTCAACATCATTTTTATAAAAACAACCATCTTTGTTTTGCATTAATATTTTTTTGATCTTCACAATAGTTACTCAAGCAAATTAGGGCTTGAAGTAAATACAACTGAGTGTTGGTAAACATGCTATAGAGAGAGCTGGGTGGTTGCCAGCATCTCCCTGCTGTGAGCATCCCTCATTGCAACTCACAGCAGAATGGGGAGGAATTATGAACCCGGAAACTGGTTGTTGGGAAAAGATAAATCTATTTTGGTTTACTTGAACTTTATCATTTTACTTTATGGTTCTTTCTTTTTTTCAACAATCAATCTTTTAGTGAACTGCCTGTGGGAGTGTTAGGGTAGAAAGAAAGAAGGGAGGTAAGTGAAAGTAGGACAGAGAAGGAAAAACATGCCGATAGGTGATCTCCTATGCCATTTTTTAATGTCAAACTTTAAATTCCAGCCTATCTCTCTCAAGCCATTTATCTTCTGATCTACTTCCCTCAGTTGCTGGGTGATATCAAGCAAGAAACACAAGCAACATTTTATCAATAGAAACAAAAGAGCAAGGATGGTAAATTGCTTCCATGAGATCACAAACTCCAAATATGTACCAGATAAGTTGGGAATATTCTGCATTATACCTTTTTTTTTCTATAATGTAGTTTTTATGAGGTAAAAGTTTCCTAAGATCAGTGAATATGTCTTTTGTTAAACAAGTTAATAAATAATAGCTAAAATACATTTAGAGATTAATATGTGCTGGCAAATTATTATTATTTAACTGACTAATGTTTGATGTAAATAACAGGCATCCCAGCTAATATGCTATGGCTGTGTCCCCACCCAAATCTCATCTTGAATTGTAATTCCCATAATCCCCATGTGTTGTGGGAGGGACTTAGTGGGAGGTAATTGAATCATGGCGGTTGTTTTCTCTAGGCTAGTCTCCTGACAGTAAGTTAGTTCTCAGGAGATCTGATGGGCTTATAACGGTCTTACCCCTTTGTTCAGCTTTCATTCATCCCCTTCCTGCTGCCCTATGAAGAAAGACATGCTTGCTTCTCCTTTTGCCATGATTATAAGTTTGTGAGGCCTCCCAGTCATGCTGAACTGTGAGTCAATTGCACCTCTTTCCTTTATAAAATACCCAGTCTCGGGTATGTCCTTATAGCAGCATAAGAACAGACGAACACACCAGTTTTACAGATAATTGAAAGGTGTTAGTCATTTACCTGTTCTCACTCAGTTTAAGATATTGAGCTATAATATAAATCAACAATGTGTGCATATGACCCATATGACCATTATTCTATATGTCTTCTCATGCAGATCCAAATGGTGCTGAGCACAAGGCAATGCTCATTGAATATTAATTAACATATGTAGTGGATTAAATAGTAGCCCTCCAAAAGGTATGTTTCTGTCTTAATCCTCAGAACCTGTGAATGTTATCTTATATCAAAAACAAACAAGCAAAAGTTAATTAAATAGAGGAGTTTGAAATGAGGAGATTATCTTAGATTATTTGTGTGGGTCCTAAATCCAATGACAAGTATTCTCTTAAAAGACACATAGAGGAGAAGACAGACAGAAGAGGAGGAGGCAGTGTGACCACAGAGGCTCAGACTGAAATGATGTGGCACAAGTCAAGGAATACCCACAGTGACAGTAGCTGGAAGAGGCAAAGAATGGATTCTCTCCTAGAGCCTCCAAGGAAAGTGTGGTCCTGAGGCTATCTGGTCTCCATAACTGTAAGAAAATAAATTTCTGTTTTTCTAAGCCACCCAGCTAGACTTAAAATTTACATAATGTAGGAGATTAAGAGTATAAAAAAATGAATGGAAGAAGTAGATTGAGAAGTAGGAGAGAAATCTATAACCATAATAATTAGAATATTTCATAAAAATTTCAGACCTCTGGTTTCTAATTAATAAATTTATCTTTCTACCTTTGAGATATTCACTGATAAATTTACAGATATTTAAAAATCTTGTTCTTTTTTAGATCAATAATTTCCTGAAAGACGTATACAAAATATTCTAAATAAAAGTGAATTAATAATAATCACCTGGGTGAAATCTTACATAAGAATGCTATTCCTTGAGCAACTTTGCTTTTTAACAGTGAGTTAAAAGATTTAAAGTCTGTATTGTTCCTCTGAGTTATTTTGTTTGGATTTTTATCTTGAAGTTTTGGAGTAAAAGAGAAGTGTCTAATGGGAGAAAACAGTAAATCCCCTTCATCTGACAGGCAAACCCAAAACAAATGTTATTTTTAAAAGCAAAATTTATTTCTGCATCCTATTGGTAAAGCAGATAAGAAATTAGAATTAACACAAATCTTTTTGGAAGGCATAAGCACATTTTTGCGTAAATTTTAGCTTTTCAAAACTGATGAGCGTAGGAAATGAGAACACACTTGTCTGAAGCATGCTTTCAAAATATAAATCAACACATTATAGTACTGCTTAAAAGCCCACAACATCGTCGAATTATTTTTTAAAATATATTGCTTATGCTTGCTTAAAGTAGCCTACATGATCAAATCCTTGAATAACTCATTTTTATTTGTTCACTTGTTTTTGTGATAAATTTTACATACTGTGAAGTACAGTGTATAAATTTGTAAAGCTGACAAATGAAACCAACAATATAAAGAATATATAAAAGATGTTTATAATTCCAGAAAATTCCTTTGCTCCTGTATCCCTTCTAATACCAATGCCCACAGTACAATGCTGTTCTTGTTCTAATCATAATAAGTTAGAGTTTCCTCTTGTTGATATTCATGTAAAGGAATCCTACAGTTGTTTTTTGGGTTTGGCTTCCTCTGTTATGTATGATACTTTTGAGATTCATCTATGCTGTTCCACATGATATTAGTTTATTTTAAAAATCATATTTAATTGTAAGAATGTACCACATGCACTTATTCATTATCATGTTGAGGATGACTGGTTGTTTCAGTGTTTAGGTATACAATTTAGTTACAAAAATTTTGAGTATTTGGCTCTTAATGACATGGATGTCTTGAACATGTCTTTTGGTGTATGCACATCTTCATTTCTCTAGACTAAAAACCTAGAAATGGAATTGCCAGCTCATAGGGCAGCTGCATGTTTAATTATTAAAGGAAGTACACATTCTCTTGCTAAATGGTAAAACCGATTAATATTCCTAGCAAAGTATGAAAATTCCAGTATCTCCAAAC